AGGGCCAGGGGAAACACATGGGCAGAGCAAGGTGGGGCAGAGGTAGCCAGAAAGCCCAAGGCTCCTGCTCCGCCGAGTTCCTGCATCCCCACCCACCTTCATCCTTCTGTCCAGCTCCGTCCGGCCCATCCACCAGTCCCTCTTGTCCGTGCAGCTGCTGAATTCCTTCTGCTCCCTCTGGATGGCATCAAACTCGCCAAGCACGGTGCTCAGGGGCGCCTGCAGACACACAGCACTGTGACCCCCGTCCTGAGCCCCCACTGCTGCCAGCCTGCTGTGCCATGGACCCTGCCCCTCACCTTGCTGTGAGCTGTTGGGATGTGGATGGTGACTGGAGGGCTGTCCTTCTCCAGGCGGGTCGCAGTGCCCGGCTGCGGGCTCCCCAGGGTCAGCAGGCACACGGCTACACCTGCCAGGAGCAATTAGGGGAGGTCACCCAATGGGCCACGCCCAGCTACGAGCCGTTGGCGTGTTCCCAGGCCCTCCCAGTGCAGTGGCATGGACACGGGGACAGGGCAAGCTGCCCACATGCCAACAGCCTGCCCTGTAGCAGGAGGATTTGGTTCCCCAGGCCCTTCACTCCTCGCTTGGGGTCTGAGGGTGCAAACAAGGTCCCCAGCGGGGACGGCTGTTTGCTCCAGAGACACCGGAGCCCAGACTCGCTTGGCGTGTTCCCAGGCCCTCCCAGTGCAGTGGCATGGACACGGGGACAGGGCAAGCTGCCCACATGCCAACAGCCTGCCCTGTAGCAGGAGGATTTGGTTCCCCAGGCCCTTCACTCCTCGCTTGGGGTCTGAGGGTGCAAACAAGGTCCCCAGCGGGGACGGCTGTTTGCTCCAGAGACACCGGAGCCCAGACTCGCTTAGCAATGGTGCTGCCCATTCAGCCAGGGCCAGACGGGCACCTCGCTGCCGGAAAAGCCAAAAGCCACCCCTACCCGGTCTGAAGGGCAGCCTCCCGCCCAGCACATACCGCCAGGGATTTGCTGCAGCTGCTCCCTGAAGCTCTCCGTCTCTCCTGGGCCCAGCCCTGCCGCACTGAATTCAAACAAGCTCTGGAGCTGCTCCAGGTGCTGGAGCTGCGAACCGGCACCCCCTCCCTGCAGGGTGAGCTCCTGCAGCTGAGCAGCAACCCCGGCCACTGACTTTTTCTTCATTTTGCTGGAGAGGAAAGCAGGGCGGGTCAGTGCAGCAGAGCCCCGCGGGACCCAGAAAACAGGAGGGGCAGAGGCGGGGGGCCGAAAGGCTGCTCTGAGCCCAGGCTGATGGAACAGGCAAGAAGGGATGTGCCTACACCTGGGGCTGGAATCCCTTGACATTGGTATTTTTCCATTGGGAGGAGGAGGATGAAACAGAAGTCGCACCCTGGGGAAATCCTACGGAGGGATGAAAGCAGATAGTCTTCAGCTGGCTTTTGGAAACTGCCTCCCCACGTGAGACCCAGGCCAGCAAAACCATCAGCTCTGACCGGAAGAGCATTACTGAAATCAGAGTGAGGGTGAGAAACAGGATCTGTAACAATCTCCGGGTGTACCCGGCTAACTGGGGTCTATTTTAGGCTAGTAACTTGTCTGGTCACCTGCAGTCACTTACATTTGTTAATCAAAGCCAGTGTAAAGAATTGTTCCTGGTGGTGGGGAAGCACCCACCTTGCTTCTCTCCCTCTCATACACCCCAACTCTTTGGGGTTTAAGCCCCTTTAGTGCTGTCAAGTCCCTGTAGCTGAGCCTTCCAGAGCGGAGCTGTTCTCCGTGTTGAGTTACTCTACTGGGTCGCTGTTACCCCAACTCTGGGCCTCTGCAGAAGGCGCTTTTGAGCCAGCAGGACAAGGTGGGGGGGGTAGGGGGGCTCAGTGGTAGGACCAGCACGCTGAGTGACCATCTCAAGGGGATCTCTGTGACCCAACCCGCCACACTGATCTGGCGGCAGCACGAGGAGAGGTGGGGCATCGCCGGCTTCCAGCCCGGTCAGCCATCCACCAGCCCACCTTCCTTTCAGTATTACCAAGGTACTTTGCCTGTTCTCGCTTTAAGAGGCTTTGTGCAGCCAATGCAGGGTTAGTGCTGTCTCCTTGTGGCCGTGGGTTGCACAGGCTAGGTGTGCCCCATGTGACTGGAGGGTTTCAAGGCAGCTTTTGCAGAGGGGATCTAGAAGCTGCCAGCTGAGGGGGAGGAACAGGGGAGCAGCTCTTACTAGAGTCTCCTGTGAATGCTGCTCATCAGCTGATGGCGGGCAGTGATCGAGACAGACCCCGACTGCCGATGCAGAGTGCCAGGAGCCGGCAGAGCTGGCAGTAGAGGGCACTCGGAGGGCAGTGGCTGATGGCCTGGAAGGCAGCTCTCAGGATGTTGGCGACAGAGTCCAGAGAGGATGCACCTGAACAGTCAGAGCAAAGAACGCTGGGTCAGACCGGGTGTGAGAAGAGCCAGGGCGCTGCCATGGGGAGTTGGGCAGGGGTGGGAAGGGGGCTACAGTGGCAGCATGTTCAGAGGAGTCTCAGCTGACCCAGGCAAGCTGCCAACAGGAGATGCTGACGTGCTATAGCCGAGAGGAGCATGGCCAGCGCCTGACCCAAGCCCCATGCTGCTCCTGCAGCAGGGTGAAGGCAAGACAAGGCAGAGGGCAGCTACGCGGTCCTGGCTTCCCCCAGGACTCCCCTCTCGGCCTGCAGGCCAGGCCCCTGCTGCCACAGTGGAGTGTGGAGAGCCAGGTGCAGTGTGTTCCCAAGGCACTTACTGACAGCAGCAGCCAGGGAGGAGGAGAGCGCCTGCAGGCTGAAGGGGTCATGGCTCCCTTTCCTCTCTGCCACCAGGAAGTTCTCCTCCAGATCAGCACTGGCATCTCGCCGCAGAACCTCATGCTCCCCGTCGGCCCCACTGAGCCCAGGGGCTGCGGTCCTCCTCTGCCTCCCTGTGGGCAAGAGCGAGCACGTCTGAGGCCTCGCCAGGGCTGGCGGACGGGCTTCTGTGGGAGGTGGAGCCAGAGTGGGCAGGGTTCTGTTCTCCCTCACTCCGCACTGGGCAAGAGCAGCCGCCACACAGCCTCCAGTCAGGCCTCCCACCGTCCTCCGGGGGCTAACCCTGAGGCTTCCCTCTCCATGGGGCTCTCTTGCCTGCACTTTCCCCCTTGGCAGCAAGCACAGACTCACCCGATGTCACCGACCGAGCAGTGAAGGGACTTGCAGCTGCAAACCAAGAGCAAGTCAAGGCTCAACCTTGGGTGCCCCCAAATCAGGGCTCTTCTAGCAAAAGCCTTTTCCTTTGCCTCTGTTCTCAGAGAAACCCCACTCGGTGTCTGGGCCCCTTGAGCCAACACGCCCCAGCTTGCCCAAGACATTTCCCAGGGCAGACGCGGTCAAGCCCTCCCTGCCCGTTTCTGGATAGGCCAGAAGTCAGGCCTACCTGGGGCTGGCTCTTCCTCATCAGAGCCTCGCAAGACCTCAAAGCTGATCTCCAATCCCTCTTCCAGCCCCTCCTCTTCCTGGATGGCTCTCAGGAGCTCCCCTTCCTCCTGCTCCCCACAGGGGCCTCTCCGGGCTGCTGCTGCCATTGCTTCTTGCTCAGCCGCTTTCCTGTTGCCTGCGCGTGTCCTCCGGGGCTTGGCGTTGCTGCTCTGGGAGCAGCTGTCCAAAGAGCTGGCTGGGGCCCCCTCTGTGTCAGCAGCCAAGGCCTTTGGCCTTGAAACCTTCTTGCCACAGGCTGATGCCTGCCTGGCCTTGGCGGGCCCTCGCTCCTTGCGGGCAGCCAGCCTCTTGTCTTCTGGCCGTGGGGCTGCTGCACTGGCATCCTCCACATCGCTGTCATCACTGAAGGCCACCTGGGAACAGGAGGGTGCAATCAGCTTCTCCAGGGTAGCTCCTGGCCCCCAGCTCTCCAGTCCAGCCTGGTGGGCCCCTCTGGCCGGTGCTCTGAACACCCAGCGTGAGATTTATCCAGCCCTTCTGGCACCAGGAGGAGGCTGGAGGGAACAGCCTTTAAGCACAGAATCAGGAGCCCTGGAATCTCCAACCCCAGCAGGACCAACTGCAGTTTCTCCTCCCCTCTCCCAAGCCCCTGGCCCACCGGGAGCAGGAGCAGGAGGCCAGGTCCCGTACCCTACTGAGGGCAGTCTCTGCTGAGGTCCAAGGACAGAAATCCCCGTCAGAACTGGCCTCCACTGCCCAACGCTGCTCACAAGCTGGGTGTGGAGAGGCTAGTGGTTTCCAGTACTCATGGAACGGGGCCAACAGACCTGAAGGTGACAGGCTCCATGTAGCTTGAGCCACCAGGATTTCCAGGGGAGAGGCCAGGCGCAGGGGAGAATGAGCCTTGGAAGGGGTTAACAGCCTACAAATCTGGATAAGCGCCCCCTAGCCTAAGGATAGTTTCAGCTTCAGGGTTCTATTAACCCTGCCAGTCCATGCACAGCGGTGGTAAGAGCCAAGTCCTCAGGAAAGGATCAGGTTCCTGGAGCAGAAGAGCTCATGCAGCTAGCAGCAGGAGAGGGAGAGCAAAGGGACATGTTAGGATGGATGCTGAGTGAGGCTGCAGCCTGGCCCTCCCCAGGGAAGGGAGAGCTAGCTAGGACAGGGCCCGAGAGAGCGCATCTGTGCTGACTGGAGGGGTGGGAGAGGGGACAGGACTGGACACCACCCAGTGGTCATCTCCCTGGGTGAGCTGTTCAGTCTGACTAGGCAGTGGGGCTCTGGAAGTGGCACACACAGACCCCCCCCCACCCCCATGTACCATCGGCCCCAAACACACTGTCCATCCACAAGCGCTGGGCCCACTCCCTTACCTTCAGGCGAGATCGGACTCTCCTGGAAGCTTTGGGAGCCTTCAGCAGCTGAGACTTCGCCCCCAAAGGGGAGGCCTCATTGAACACCATGAATGGAGCCTTGGGGCCAGCGGTCGGCTTAGTGTGCGAGTGACTCTTGGTGGGAGGGAAGGGTTTCTGCACGGGGGTACAGGGGTCCATCATGGGTCTAATAACGACAGGGGGCACCTCTCCATCCGAGTCTCCCAGGGCAAAGACATCGTTGGAGTCTATCCAAGGCAACGGCTGGACTCCCTGACCTCTCCTGGCTTTGGGTTTTCGGCCAGAAGCTGCCACTGGAGTCTTCTTGCTTCTACTCTTCAGGGGCAGGCTTTCCTCTCTCTTGATGGTCTTGCTCGTGGCTGATCCTTTGGTCTCAGAGGAGGGAGTTGGGGGTTTCCAGGCCCAGACGCTGGAGAAGATGTGAGCCATGCAGCTGTGGTGCTTGGAAGCCAGGCTGTAGATGGTAGCTGTGGCTTTGGTGAGCAGCAGACTTGCTTTGTGGTACTCCAGACCCGGCAGGTGGGGCACTCTGGAAGCCAGGAACGTCAGGCCAGCCTCCAGGAGCTCCCACAGGCTCTTCTCTGGCCGGTGGCCACTCATGCTTTGAGCAGCCAGACTGGCATAGATGCTGGCGACCAGATCGTCCAGCAGCCCAAGCATGGACTGGTCCCGAACAGCCACCTTCTTGCTATCGCCCCCGGATGCCTCCCACACCATGGTGGAGAAGCGCGAGGTCACGCCAGTACAGCGCTCTAGACTCGCCCGGAGGAGACCTAACCCCTCAGCTGCGTTCCCTGATGCCAGCTCCCCCTGGGCAAAAGAGACCGTCCAGTGGAGGCAGATGGTTGAGAGGGTCACGTCAGAGCAGAGGGAGCAGGGGCACTGAGCAGAGTGCTTCAGGAAATTCAAACATCTCTTCTCCTTGGGTTTTAGCACTGGGGAGGTTGTCAGGCCCCTCTCCTTCTCCTGCATGCTCACAGTGTCCACAAACTCTAGCACCCGGCCCTTGAGGAAGCTGTCGTCCTCGCCCGCAGGCTCGGCACTGGGGCCTTGGTGCTTGCTGCCCTTGGATGTGACCTTCTTTGGATCGATCTTCACCTCGCTCTTCTGACACTCAACAGAAGCAAAGTCTGGAGAGGGAGAGGGGTGAGTTACTGGAGTGCCACCACTTGCAATCCACCTGGGCTGTGGTCTGCTTAACATGCAGGAGACACAAGACAAGCCATTACTGTCCTGCCCTCCCCGCAGGCTTGCCACCCTAGGCAGTAGCGTGTTATGCAGCCTCAAGACAGGACGTGATCTTGGCCTGTCAAGCCAGACTTATAGCTGTGGGACCCCAGCATCTAGTATTAACGTTTCCGTACTCTTTCCAGGAAGCAGCTACTCGCCACTCCTTTACTGAGCCGCCCGCAGGGGTAGCTCTCAGCAAGCGCCACCTGGTCTGGTTTGTGCGCCAAGTCTCGACCTCCCCCCGCTCCAACCCCTCTGGTTCATGGATCTCTGGGTGTCCTCTGTTGTGGCATTAGCACTGTTGTACGAGACATGCTGCACAGCCGGACAGCTAGGGCCCTGTTGTCCGTAGAACCTTCTCCACCCCTCGCTGTCCACCTAACCCAGGGGTGGGCAGTAATTTGAGGGTGGGGGGCAACTTCAAGAATTTGGAAAGTGGTAAAGGGCTGCACTCTTCCATGATATTAATGGAGGGGATGTGGGGGTCTGGGATGGAGGTTGGGTGCAGAAGGGAGTGTGGGAGAAGGAGGCAGCTGTGACCTGGAGCAGGGGATTGGGAGGCAGAGTCTGGGAGAAGGTATAGGTGCCAGGGGAAGGGGGTGCTGGGGTGTCCGAGGCAGGCTGTGGCCGGGAGACTTCCCAATGCGACTCTAGGCCAGCAGCCCAGAAGGTTTCTCAGGCAGGCTCCCTGCCCGCCACACCCCTGCACCAACAGCAGGGACCATGTGCATCTTACCAGCTGAGAGCCAGAGGGGAGGGGTGCTTTGTGTGCTGCCTGTTCTTCAAACAGGCAGCTCATTGGCTGCAAGCCAGCCAGTGGGATCGTGCTGCAGCAGGGGCTGTACATGAAGCCCCCCCCCCAACTCTTCAAAGACAAACGGCCCTTCAGCTGCTTTTCTGAGTGGTGGGCAGGTGAGGGAGCCTGTCTGAGGTTCCCTGCTGTGTCCATGGGCTGGATCCAGCCCGGGAGCTGTATTTTGCCCAGCCCTGACTGAAGCTGTATGGCTGTTGCCGCCAATGGACAATGCCACGTGGAGGGCTGGTCACATTCCCTGCTCAGGGGCCACAGAAGTCACATTAAGGATGTAAAATCCTGTGACCATGGTTAACCGGTTAAATGAGTCATGAGACAGCACGACAGGCCTGGCCCAGCTAGAGCACCCATGGTGCGTTGCCACAGGCTGCTCCAGCCCAGCCAGGCCCTGGGTTCACAGGCCCCGTTTCTTCCCTGAGCCAGAAGGGAGAGCGCCTCACCAGTGCCAGACTCTAGCAGGAACAGGGCTTGCTGGAGGTCTGAGTGACACAGCTCCAGCTCGCTTCGCTGCAGCTCCAGCTGGGCCTTCAAGACCAGAAACCGAGCACACCTGAGAAGAGAAACCCATCAATGGCCTGGCTCCCACTGGGTAAAGCAACAGTGTGACTAGTAGTCCATGGAGGCCAATGTGCCCCACCTCCATTAACGCAGGATAGAGACACCAAGCGACGAGGACGCTCATTTGGCTGAGCTCCAGAGCCCAACTTCCCCAGAGGTGAGCTCAGTTACAAGATTAAAACTTGAGCAACGTGCCCTTGAGTTCCTGTGCATGGCTGCTTGTTCGGGATGAGCCCAGCAACCCCCCACACCAGGTTGCTGCCTGCATGGAGAGCAGCTTGCTTAAACCCGCCACCTGGCCTCCCGGTCTCTGAGAAGGAAGTGGCCTTCTCCGGCTAGCCTGAAAGCCTGGTTCTGGCAGCTGCACAGGCAGGATCAGCATTTATTAGCCAGGACAGTGCCCCAAAGGAATAGCAGAGAGAAGAATCCCAGCCTTGATTTGCCCCCACACCAGGTTGCTGCCTGCATGGAGAGCAGCTTGCTTAAACCCGCCACCTGGCCTCCCGGTCTCTGAGAAGGAAGTGGCCTTCTCCGGCTAGCCTGAAAGCCTGGTTCTGGCAGCTGCACAGGCAGGATCAGCATTTATTAGCCAGGACAGTGCCCCAAAGGAATAGCAGAGAGAAGAATCCCAGCCTTGATTTGCACAAGTCCTTGTGCGAGTCAGATGTTGGGGGGAGGGGAAGATGCACTGAGA